TAGTATGTGACATAATAAGTATGTAACAATTTAATTTGAAACGAACCAACTTGTAACAGTTTTGGTTGAAACACAATCGGTGTTAAATAGTTTGAGTATGTATGTAATGGTTTTATTATGAAACAGTTTTAGTATATGGCATGTTTAGTATGTGAAGATTTTAGTATATAGCATGTTTGGTATGTGGCAATTATAGTATGTGACAAAATTAGCGTGCAATAATTTTATTACGAAACAATTTTAATTGAAACAGTTTTGGAACACAATAAGTATGAAACGTTTTTACTTGAAACAGTTTTAGTGTGCAACAAATTTATTATGAAACATAATTATTTCGAATCGTTTTAATGTGTAATATGTTATGTTTATTATGTAATAGTTTTAATGGAAACAAATTTACTTTAAACATTGTTAGTACGAACAGTTTTGGTTGAAACAATTTAACTTGAAACAGTTTTAGCGTCAAACAGTTTTAGTATGTAACAAGTTTAGTATGAAACAGTTTTAGTATGTAACAAATTTACTTGAAATATTTTTAGTGCGAAACGGTTTTAGTATCAATTTTAGTATGTAACGTGTTTAGTATGAAACATTTTTAGTATGTAACATGTTTAGTATGAAATATTTTTAGTGTGTAATGGTTGTAGTGTTAAACAGTTTTAGTATGTAACATAACATGTTTAGTATGAAGTTATTTTTTTTAAAACAAGTTTAGCAAGTTTAGTATGAGACAATTTTAGTATGAAACAGTTTTGGCATGAACAAGTTTAGTATGAGACATTTTTGGTATGTAACTAAATTACTTGAAACATTTTTAGTGCAAAAACAGGTTTTGTTTAAAACATTTTTAGTATGAAACTGTTTAGTGTTAAACGGTTTTAGTATGTGACAGATTTTCTTGTAATATTTTTAGTGTGATGCAATTTTTCTTGAAACAGTTCAAGTGTAAAATGTATTTAATGAATCGGTTTAACTATGTGATATGTTTGGTATGTAGCAATTTTAGCACGAAACGTTGTCACTTAAATTTGGCATGTAACAATTGACTTGAGTCAGTTTTGGCATGAAACGACATCGCTTAAAATTAGCATGTAACAATTAACTTGAATCGGTTATAGTATGTGGCATTTCTATTATAAGGCGATTTTACTTGAACCGGTTTTGGTGTGTAAGATGTTTAGTATGAAATATTTTAACTTGAATCGGTTTTAGTATGAAACATTTTTATTATAAGCAAAATTACCTGAATTTGTTTTAGTTGGAACAAATTGAATATGTGGCGGTTTTAGTACGAAATGGTTTTATTATATAACTGTTTTATTATGAAACAAATTTACTTGAAATAGTTGGAACAAAATAAGTATGTGCGATTTTTAGCATGAACTGATTTAGAATCGATTTGAGCATGAAATGATTTTAGTATGTAACGGTTTTTAGTATGAAACTGTTTTAACAGAAACAAATTAACGACCTGTTTACCAGCAGCACTGTGCGACTTTTTAATTTAATTTAATTTTATTTGATGTGCCGACAAAACACCAAAGACACAAACCAAGGTATTTGTGTTTATTGAAAAGATAAAAGTTACAATGTTGATAAAATAAACAGGTTTTTCAATAAAACACCAATAATGGCAAAAAAACTGAAAACGCCACATTTTATAATGTCTAGTATTTTATTTATCAATTCGACTTTAAACATTTTATTTATTATAACTGCAAAAAATTGAACTAATGAACCACCTGCATTGCCCATTAATTCTATGAATAAGCATCTGTAATCTCTGATTGCAATTTTAAACTGTTTGAAAAAACTTTTTAATTTTAAAATTATGGAAAGCAATTTAGCAAATAATCAAATGAATTATGCTGACAATCCCAAACAGTATGGCGATTCCGGAAACCCCCGCAATCCCAAACAGTCTGGCAATGGAAAAAAACCTCCTCGCAATAAACGTTCTGGCAATCAATCTGGCAATCAATCTGGCAATCAATCTGGCAATCAATCTGGCAATCAATCTGGCAATCAATTTGGCAATCAATCTGGCAATAACCGTTCTGGCAATGGCAACAATCATTCTGGCAACAATCATCCCCCTGGCAATCCTTATTATTACAACAATTATTCTGGCAATTATCCTGACAACAATTATTCTGGCAACAATTATTCTGGCAACAATTATCCTGACTACCCGAATTCTTCTTATAACAGTTATTATCAATCTGATTTTGGTGGCAATTCTTGTTATGGCATTCCTCCTCATGGCATTCCTCCTCATGGCATTCCTCCTCATGGCATTCCTTCTTATCCTAACATTCCTTCTTATCATAACATTCTTCCTCCTCATGGCATTTCTCCTCATGGCATTTCTCCTCATGGCATTCATCCTCATGGCATTTCTCCTCATGGCATTTCTCCTTATGGCATTCCTCCTTATGGCATTTTTAATCCTAACATTTCTCCTCCTCCTACCATTTTTTCTCCTCATGACAATCAAAATGGCAACAAACCTTCTGGCAACAATCAACAAAATTTAACAATGGACGAAGCAAATAAAGCTCTCGAAGATTGTCAAAAACATTTTGAAGAAGAAATTATGAAAACCGCGACACATTTGAACTCTCCTGGAGGAATTGAAAAGCCATGCGCAAAAGTAACTGGATTCAACCCTGATACCATTCTCATAAAAAAGAATAATGGTATAGTCTTCACGGTGAAAGATTTCATCGATGGTCTCTTCTGCATTAATGAGAAGACAGGGGTTAGTAAGCGTGCGAGTACTATGGACTTTTGGGATAGTATGTGTAAAAAAATTGCAGGCTCGACGGATGGTATGGATGTGAAAATGAAAATGAATAGAAATAAAGTCTATATTATTAATTTATGGAGAAACCCCAAGGACAAGCTTAAAGAGGCGACGGGACAAGCTTAAAGCGGCGATAACAGGCGCGGAGTAAGTGGGGCAAGTGGGCGTGAGTGGACGTGTGGTGGCGAGTGTGGTGGCGTGTATTATAGTATAGTAATTTGTATTTTAATATTTTGTATTAGTAAAATTTTATTCATTAAGTATCTTAATTATTTTGTTTATATTATATTATTGTAAGTTTCATTAAAAAATTTCATTTTTAAAAACCGGATTTTTCCAATTTTTTTGTATATATAAACAATCGGCATTATTATATAATCACGGCACCATTAATTATTATATCAATAGAATGTGTTCGTTTTTTTAAAAAAAGGACGTTTTTATTATATGGTAAATTTACACGGAAAGATTTATTGTGAAACGGATTTATTGTAAAAAATTTACTTGAAATAAATTTAGTTGAAACATAATAAGCATAATACAGTTTTGTTATGTAACATGTCCAATTAAAACACAATAAGTGAAACAATTTTACTTGAACTGATTTAAGCATGTAACATGTTTAGTGTGAAACGGTTTTAGTATGTAACACAATAAGTATGTAACAATTTTATTTGAAACAATTTGAGTTGAAACGTGTTTAGATTGTGGTGTTTTTACTCGAACCAAATTTATTGGAGCAGGTTTACTTTTAGTATGTGATATGTTTAGTATGAAACAAATTTATTTGAATCGATTTTTTTATGAAATATAATAAACGTTTTTTAGCATGTGGCAAATTTATTGTGAAACCAATTTACTTGAAAGAGTTTGGCGAAAACCTTTTCAGTACGCAACATGTTTAGTTGAAACATAATAAGCATGAAACAATTTTGGCATAAAACAAAAATATTATGAAATAAATTAACTTGAAACAGTTTAGTGGAAACACTAATTATGAAACATTAATTATGAAACATTTTTAGTAGAAACATAATGAGTATGTTACAAAATTAGTATGAAACAAATTTACCCGAATTGTTTTTAGTGTGTGACAATTATTGGAACGGTTTTTTGAAACATTTTTTTGAAACATTTTTAATATGAGACAATAGTTGAAACGATTTATTTGAGACATTATTTTGAAACATTTATTATGAGGCATTTGTCGAAACGATTTTTTGGACCAGTATTAGTTTGAAACGGTTTTAATATGCAACAGTTGTTGATTGAAACAAAATTTCTTGAAACATTTCATGACAAAACAGTTTTAATATGAAACGTTTCTACTTGAAACAAATTTAGTATGTAACAAATTAAGTATGAACAATTTTAGCATGGAGCATTTTTATTATGAAACAAATTTACTTGGGGTAAATTTACTTGGAACAATTTTAGTATGTAATGAACTTACTTGGAACAATTTATTTAAAACAGTTTTAGTATGTAACGAACCTACTTGGAACAATTTTACTTGGAACAGTTTAAGTATGTGACTAACTTACTTGGAACAATTTTACTTGAAACAGTTTTAGTATGTAACAAATTTATTACGAGACCAATTCACTTAAACGAATTCATCCGAAACAATTATATTACGAAACAAAATCACTTGAAACAATTTTAGCGTGCAACATTTATATTACAAAACAAATTGGGTATGTTGCATTTTTAGAATGGAATTGTTTTAGAGCGAAACTGTTTTAATAGAAACATATTGAGTATGTAACGGTTTTAGTGTGAAATTATCATAAAACATCGTTAACGAATCCGCAAAAACAAAAATCGGCCAAACACAATCGGCATAATATGGTAAGATAAAATAGGATAAGCCTTTTTTTATTACATGTTGTATAACTGTAAACCAATAAATTCACAGATCTTTAAGGATGTAACAAGTCGTTTTTTATTATTATGCACAATAATGGGATAAGGATTAAGACAATATGGACATGAATGAACGACAAGTTTCATTAGTTTTTTACCAATTCACCATCATTTTATAAAAAATGGTTAAAGTGTGTTTCTTGACAAATAATACTGACTTAATTAACATAAATAAGTATATAATTTATATGATCTAAAAAATTGAAATTAAAAATTCTTAAATTGTTAAATTATTTAATATAAAAACACACTACAATATATAACAATCATGACTAACAATAATCAAGAAAATGTTTTTGACCTTAACCAAGACCACAACTTAGGAGGGGCCGATGAACAAATTAAAATAAACGAGCCGACGCAAAATATTGGTTCGGGGTTTGGGAGGCAATTTTTTGTCCGTTCATTAACTGGAAGTATACTTGCATTTAAGCTTAATGCTGATATGACCATACTGCAACTTAAAAAAGAAATTGAGGACAAACAACATATTCCAGTCGATCAGCAGCGTATTGTTTACCAAGGAAAGCAACTCGAAGATAACAATACACTTGGGTATTATGAAATTAGTGATAATGCAGATCTTCATCTTGTTACAAGGCTTAGAGGAGGAAACTGATAATTTTATGTTGTTAACAGATTTACACCCCTGAAGATTTAAAATGCCGAATATACTCAACAAAAAAATTTTCAAGGTTCGCCCGCTGCAGAGCGTGTAAATTATGGTTTTGTTTCGGCATTTTAAATCTTCAACGGTGTAAATGTATTTTTTTTTATTTTATTGTTTTTACTTTTTAGAATATGTCGCTAATATTATAATTTATTATATGTAGTCACTTTAGGAAAATATTATGAATCGTAAAATGACTATAACTGAAACTGTTATATGGATGGTTGTAATATTAGCCATATGTGTATTTATTTATATTATAATTAAAACTGTTAACAGTCATTTATTTGGTTCTGATAGTACTGAATTTATGATAAATATTCCCCCAATAGAAAACGACCAAACGAAATGGACCAGAACACAAAGTTGCAAATACATTATGGATGATACAACATCAAAAGCTCTTGGAACCACCAATGTCGCAAAAACTGATAACCACAAAGAAGCTGGACTAGTTTTTCCATGCGGGTACAATAATATTGACGACGAGATTAAATCCTTGCCAAATGTTTATTACAAAGACAATGAGAGACCAAAAAGAGTATTTATTATTGATGGCGCTGACGAAATCACCGCTAAAAACTATCTATGGAAAAATATCTACAACCATCATGGATTAAAAAAAGCAAAAGAGATATCACCTAATACATACCTGCTTGTTGGTCAACAAAGAAATATTGATATTGATCGCCTTGAAAAAGAACATTACCCGGGAAAGATGTATATTCTTAAGAAAAATATACAAAGACAGACAGGATTAGAATTAACAGATGACATAAATAAAATCAAGAATAATTTTGAAAAATACGTGTTGGCACAAGAGTTATTAAATGATTCTTATCTTGTGAGTGGAAGAAAAATAAATCTGAGAGTTTACCTTGTGGTTGTATGTAACAAAGGAGAAACGGATGTTTACATGTTTAATAACGGATTTATGTATTACACTAAGCAGTTTTTTATTAAAGGTGACAATTCTAGAGACAATCATATTACAACAGGATATGTAGAACGCGATGTTTACCATAAAAACCCTCTAACGCATTTAGATTTTAAGAAGTATTTGGATATGCACGAGGACGATAAATATCATCCAACGAATATACCCCGTGTACTTTATCCAAATGAGGTAGCTATCAGAAGTCAAGGACTTTTGGTATCTGATGTTTTGTTTAAAAGAATAGAGAAACTGATGGCTGATGTTTTCATATCTTTTAAAGGAAATATTTGCAGAAAACTCGATTCACATGGCAAACATATTCCAATTTACAATGACTATAGTATACAAATTTTTGGAGCCGATGTTGCGATTAATGACCAACTGCAACCACAAATAATTGAGATAAATAAAGGGCCCGATCTTTCGCCAAAAGATGATCGTGACGGCAATGTTAAACTTAAAATGTTCGGCGATGTTTTAGAAATTATAGGCATTAAACCAAAAAGTATTGATAACGGTCTTATACACATATTAGAAATGTGAATATAATATGAATTATTATTTGCAAATTATAATTATGATCATAAGTCCATATTTTTACACGGAGTTTTTATCTTACGATAAAACCCTTTTTCGTCCGACGCAACAACGATTGATCTCGGCGAATCGTAAATATTATTAATAACGCAAATTATCACTACGCCGAGAAACACACTAAAAAAGATGTTGTAATAGGGTTCCAATTTTTTGTCTATCATGATTATGATTATTATATATATTTATTTATCCAAAATTATTATTAAGATCACAAATCATCTTTTTAACATCCGACATTTTTGTTGTTATGTTTTTGTTGCCAATTAAAGACATAAACTCAGACAAAATAATAAAAAATTGGTCGAGTTGATGGTCGTTTTTTTCTGTTGTAATATTAATAAAGGCAATCCGGATTTGTATTTGTACAAAATCAACAAATGTCCGTATAAAATTAATACAGTGAAATACACAATAATTGTCGTTTGTTATAGACTGTATGGACACAGAAGGAGTCAGTCCGACCGTCACATTTTTAATTTCCAACTCATTTGCTAGATTATCATATGCATTAATAAAATCCGGCAACTGATTATTAATATAATTGTCTTGATCTGGATCAAATACAAACAATAATTGGTTTGTTGTCACAAAAGTAATGGAATGGGAACTATAATCTTTAAAAAATAACTCATTTAACTCTTGTTTTGTATAAGTTAATAAGACCGGAATATCAATCAATGTTATTTCGCCCATTATTATTATTACGTCATTTGTACCACGTTTTTCATTAACTAAATCATTTTTAATTTCGAGCACGATTTCTTTTGCAATCCAAAGATGAAACCACTGAAAGAGACTAAGAAAATAAAGAGTTGATACAAAAGTAACTATTTCATTGTTATCTATAAGTTTTAGGTTATTCAAAGTGCCTTTTTGGATAAAATCTTTCAGATCATTGTAAATATTTGCGATTGCGACAACATTCAACATAAAATATTCATATGAAGCGTCGTTTTTTGATTCGTTTTTAATTTTTGAGTTAATGTGTGAAAAATACTCGTTTTTTATTTTTTTTACACATTTTATAATTTTTTTTTTATTTGTTTTAAAAGTTTTTTTTGTTTCAATGTCGGTAAAATCAATTTTTTCGATCATGTCGTTAGTTTTAATTAACAAAGATCTGTCAATTTTGGGGACTGATTTATTTTGAGTACTTAGTTTATTTTTTACAAAACTTTGAAGATCTATTTTTGACGTTAAAATTTGAACACTAAAATCATAATTTCCATACTTATTTAGTGATAGTAATAAATCTCTCTTAAATCTAACATGTTCGGACTTATTGACATAAGTTTCAAGATGTTTATATATTACATGATCTGTATTATAACTGACATCCATATGTAGTCTGTATATGTCGTTAAAGGATAACATTATGAATTATGTGGTTAAATGTTACATATTAAGTTGAATATGATTAAAAAAATATTATCAAACTTTTTGCGACATAATTATTGTTGCCTGATTATCATATCATATCGGGTCAATGTTACTTTTCTTTATAAAAAATTCAAAACAGCGGCAATATTTTATTATGATAATTGTTATTTTATCAATAATATTTAATAAAAGCGCCATATTATGTTTTATTTTTGTATTAATAATAAAAAGCACACGCTGATGCCAAGACAAGACAACATGATTTGTCAAAAAATTAAAAGTGTCCATAAAAATAAAATAAACCAAACATTTTTTTGATATAATAATGGCAAATTGGCAAAAAACGAACGCAAACTGGTTAAATATGCCCATTTCCCTAATTATTAACCATTTGTCATATTTTTTATAGTAAATCGTAAATTTTAAACATTGTTCCATTTGAAATCAATATTAATTAACTAAAAAATAAGTCAATTAAAAATAGGTTATGAAGACGATGTAATAAGTTTATTTAACGAGTTGGATTCGAATGAATTAAAAGCAATAAAATGGAGCTTAGTAGAAAATAACAAAATAAACGAAGATTTAATAACCAATAAAACATTGGATGAATTTGTAAAAATTCTACTCGACAACGATATTATTTCGCAACATAATTCAAAGAACTTAATAGAAATGTTGGAAGAATGTGGCAGGGGGATTTGCACGATAGAATTTATATCGACACATTATTATCTGTTCATTACAAAGGACATAAACAAGTTGATATAAAATAAGTCATGGACATTGTGTAATAAAAATATTTTTTAATTTTAGTACAAATATATGACATTATGGACAATTAACAACATTTTCATTTGAGTTGAATCTCTTTTCTTTTGTACTTATAACAAACATTGTTGTCATCGACATATACATCAGAAACCTCTCGCTCCGGTGAAGGAAATTTAACCATAACTTCTGGTTTCGGATATAATATGTATAACACAAACATTGTTATAAACATTGCCGCAATAAAATATTCGGGTATTAGTTTCATTGTTATTATATTATATTTCGGTGGTTTTTTATTTTAATATTATATTAATTTTTCTTGTAAGAATAATCTTTGACGTTCCATTGATCCTTTGATTGCGACATTAAGCGGCACTTGATAAGAATGCTTAACCGCCTCAATCTTTCCAGGAACATAATTGACATATTTCTTGCGATTTGAACCACCTATCTGCCCATACAAAAATCCTGGTTTAAATATTTTATCTTTTTTAAACGAATTAAAATCAAAATCAAAATCAGTGCTAAAATCAATATCAATATTTGAGGATCCGCAAATCGACATATATGTGCCATCAAATGGCATATCTCTATATGACTCCGGGTTTAGTCTTTGATATAGCTCCTCTTCGATAAGTGACAGCACAGTGTTATAAAGTATTGGAAGTTGTGAGTATGAGTAATCGTCGGGATAGGGATATTCGTCATTTGTATTATTTGGTGTTGTGTCAGGCATTGTTATATGTTACTCCAACAAAAAATAATATTTAATACTTAAAATTAGTATCATACAGCCCCTCCGAAAATTAAGGCTGTTGCTTTATCAATATTGCTCGGTTCCCCATTGTTCCATTCGGTCGTGTCATTATTTGATTTATCCATTTCTTCTATGTCACCGTTACTTTCGCAATCTGTAATTTCATCATCATCAATAAGATAATCGTCTGATATCATGCTCGAGACGTCTTTTATTTTATTTAGGCTACAACTGCCTCTTTTTTCGGTTGCCAAATTAGGGATGTTCTTTATCATATGTTTTTTTGTTTTATTTTTAATGACTTCTTTTTCCTCGCGGTCTTTTTTGAGAACATATTTAATTGTTAAATAGATTATAAGAAGTGATATCACAATCAATGGAAATAAATTTGGTTTGATATAATCTACGTAAAAGTCACCTAAACCATCGATTACCTTATTGCCATTTTCTGATGCATCAGGAACATTTAATTTAACATCTATATCTTTGAGAGTTTTTCTACTTATCAGATTGGGTCTTGACCCGCAAAATGTGTCTGACAGATTCATGCTATCAATATCCTACTTTGCAAAAAATTAACAACAATTTTAACTCCAGTTTAATACAAAACATTTTTCACCCTAAAAAAATTAACACGGTTTTTTAGGAAAATAACATATTTTTAATTATTTGTGTACTTATCTTATTGATTAACGTTATAAATTGAGTCGACACATTTTGTTAAAATAATATAAAAAGTATTGACAGTGAACAATTACCAAAAACTGATGAATTGCAAATTAAAACAAATTTATCAAATGTGTGTTAAAAAAGTTGTTCCCATAAGTCTCTGCAAGCCTTAAAAAAGAAAAGAAAAGAAAAAAATAAAATAAAACCATAAAAATATACTCTGTTGTGGGCAATACTTGAGTGTTTTTTGTTAGTATAATCAATTTTGAAAAAAAATCTTCAGATGTGTAAAAGGGATTAATAAATAGACATATTTTATATGTAAAATACACATGTTGAAGCAAAGGTGTTCGAATAATAATATTAATACAAGATATAATAATATGAGTAATCCTAAATTTAGCGTGGGGAACAATTATAAAATAATTAAGAAGATTGGAAAGGGCTCATTTGGCGAAGTATATTTAGCTGTCGGACGTAACGGCGAAGAGTATGCTTGTAAAATAGAGGAAAGCAAAAGTTCAAAGAACAGATTAAAAGGGGAGTCACTTATATATAAAAGGTTCGCAATAAAGAATCTTGACTGTGTACCAACAGTTTATAAATACATCGAAACACCGGAATATAATTTACTGGTAATGCAACTTCTTGGAAAGAGCCTTGATGTATTTTTTGAGGATTGTGGTGGTAAGCTGGATGTTGGTACAGTTATGAAACTCGGTGTAACAATAATTAACCATCTTGAAAAGATTCACAGAATCGGTATTATTCATAGAGACATAAAACCCAACAACTTTATGTTTGGAATTAAGGAACATGCAAATGATTTATATGTCATGGATTTCGGACTTTCCAAAAAATGGTATGCAAATAAGACTCATATTGAGTTTAGAGTTGGAAGATCAATGATTGGGACTGCTAGATACGTCAGTTTAAATATCCATAATGGTTCGGAGCCAAGTAGGCGCGACGATATGGAGTCATTGGGATACATGCTTATATATTTAGTTAAAGGATTCCTTCCATGGCAAGGTCTTAAAAAGAAAACCAAGGATAATCCTATTGATAAAATCGGCGAAAAAAAAATGATGGTTGATCTTGAGGTTTTATGCGAAGATCTTCCGGACTGCTTTTACGAGTACGTTAATTATACGCGCAATCTTCAGTTTACGGAAAAACCAGACTACAAATATTTAAAAGATTTGTTTCTTTCGTCAGCCAAAAAAAATGACATTAAATTAAAGTATTTTTGGGAAAACACATCGGTTATCCAGCCTAAGGCAAGCGGAACTATTCAAACAGGCGAATTATTAACCAAAAAGAAAGACAATGAATCAGATGAATCTGATAAAGAATTAAAACAAAAAACAAAAATCGACGTAAGACCGGATAAAAAAAATGGATCTAGGCAAAAAATTGACCATGTATGTTCCAGAGACTGCAAACACGATATTATTCAAAGCACAAATATATATGAATTAGAACATAAAAAAGATGACTTGTCAAGTGATAAAGTAAAACCAAAAATAAAAAAAAAAATAAACATGCAAACCGAAACTCCTACAAATACAAAAAGCATTCCAAATTCCTTAACAAAACCAAAACCAAAATCACAATCACAATCACAACCACAACCACAACCACAAAAATCGTATAAACCACAAATACAACCGATTACTAACGAGACTAAAAATGGTTCAAAAACAAATGTGACATCTGCAAAACGAGTATCGAATACAACTAAGGTCAATGACCCACCCCAATAATAAAACAACTTGATATTATATTATGACATAAAAGAAATAAAAGCACCACATGATGCAAAAAATATCCCCAGGAGAAACGGAGTAACTGCCAGACATAAGAATTTACTTCCTTTCGATCCATCTTTTTGTTTGAACTTACTGACTACTGCGATAGATATTATAATAATTAATGTTGCCATCATAACACTGCATCCGGGGACAGAATTTTTTGTTGCGACAAAATACAACGCAAGCAAATATGTTATCCCAAGAGTAACGATAAGACACCCCAAAGAAAACTCATTTTCGTATTCATATGATCCTATCCATATAACATAAAGGCACATTATAAGAAGTATACACGATAATAAGGTTGTGTTTTTAGTGGTTTTAACTATACTCATTATTAAATACTAAGTTAATATTTTATCTTTTAATATAAAAATGGGACACCTAACATAACAGTGTTTGTATATATTTAGCACTTTTGTTTGGGGCGAAAGACTAAGATAATGTAATCACGGTTAATGTTAATTAAATGCACCAGTTTTTTGCCAATTTATAATAATTTTATTATAAATCCGATTGAATTGTGTTTTTTATTTATTATTTATTGTTTACGATGTTTTTGATTAATTTCTTTAAAAATCATGTTAAAATAAAATGACAAAAATAACAAATTCTAACAAATTGCCTAAAAACATGTTTATTTTGAAATTCATATTGTATAACAAATTTAATTTGAAACATTCTTGTTGACATTTTTAAAAAATTAAAATAATAAAAAATTGAAAACACATAATAATTGAAAAACCCAATATTATGTACTATGGCAACTAGTTTGGCAGAGAAATTTGTGATATTGTTTAATATTGAAAAATGGAAGACAGTGAATTCATTAAAATAGTTGAACTTTGCACCAAAAATATTTTGACAGCATCAGATCCATACAACCGCAAAAACCAAATCAAACATTTGGAAGGTAGACTACTTGATAGCGGATTCAAAATTGACGATTGTCCACGTATATGCGAGGAGGTCGAACGTCGGTGTTTTTCAAACCATTAATGGACACTAGGAACACAACTGATTTAATATTTTTTTATTTTTTTTATTTTTCGTTTTAATTGGCAAGACAAACATGTGATAAAAATGATTTTTTTCCCTTAAAATAAAATGACAAAAATAACAAATTGCCTAAAAACATGTTTATTTTGAAATTCATATTGTATAACAAATTTAATTTGAAACATTCTTGTTGACATTTTTAAAAAATTAAAATAATAAAAAATTGAAAACACAAAATAATTAAAAACACAATATTATGTACTATGGCAACTAGTTTGGCAGAGAAATTTGTGATATTTTTTAATATTGAAAAATGGAAGGCTGTAAAATTGATAAAAAAAAATTCGATAAATTAGTTGAATTTTTCACCAAAAAGATTTTGGAAGACCCCGAAAGCGTATCAGATCCATACCACCGCGAACGGGAAATCAATAAATTGCATTATAATATAAATGATATAGGATACGTATATAGAGATCTTATATGTTATGCGGTCAGTCGTCAGTGTTACCAACTAACTGGACGCTAGGAACACAACTGATTTAATATTTTTTTATTTTTTTTATTTTTCGTTTTAATTGGCAAGACAAACATGTGATAAAAATGATTTTTTTCCCTTAAAATAAAATGACAAAAATAACAAATTCTAACAAATTGCCTAAAAACATGTTTATTTTGAAATTCATATTGTATAACAAATTTAATTTGAAACATTCTCGTTGACATTTTTAAAAAATTAAAATAATAAAAAATTGAAAACACATAATAATTAAAAACACAATATTATGTACTATGGCAACTAGTTTGGCAGAGAAATTTGTAATATTTTTTAATATTGAAAAATGGAAGACAGTAAATTCATTCAAATAGTTAAAATTTGCATCGATAATATTTTGACAGACCCCTTTTGCGTATCAGATCCTTCATACCACCGCATATGGCAAATCAAACATTTGGAAGATAGACTATTTATTAGCGGATTCAATTTTGGCGATATTACACGTATATGCGAGGAGGTCAAACGTGGTGTTTTTCAAACCATTAATGGACACTAGGAACACAACTGATTTAATATTTTTTTATTTTTTTTATTTTTCGTTTTAATTGGCAAGACAAACATGTGATAAAAATGATTTTTTCCCTTAAAATAAAATGACAAAAATAACAAATTGCCTAAAAACATGTTTATTTTGAAATTCATATTGTATAACAAATTTAATTTGAAACATTCTTGTTGACATTTTTAAAAAATTAAAATAATAAAAAATTGAAAACACAAAATAATTGAAAAACCCAATATTATGTACTATGGCAACTAGTTTGGCAGAGAAATTTGTGATATTGTTTAATATTGAAAAATGGAAAAATATGATGAATTCTTTCAAAATCATGAAGGCATGCGTGAAACAGTTTACGATTTATCCGAAAAGATTATGAAAGACCCCAAAAGCAGATCAAACCTATACCGCGAACAGGAAATCGAAAAATTGCATTCTGCACTATATTATAATAGTGTCGCATATTGCGGTATTATACGTGATGCGGTCAGATGTCGGTGTTTTCAAATCATTAATGGACACTAGGAACACAACTGATTTAATATTTTTTTATTTTTTTTATTTTTCGTTTTAATTGGCAAGACAAACATGTGATAAAAATGATTTTTTTCCCTTAAAATAAAATGACAAAAATAACAAATTCTAACAAATTGCCTAAAAACATGTTTATTTTGAAATTCATATTGTATAACAAATTTAATTTGAAACATTCTTGTTGACATTTTTAAAAAATTAAAATAATAAAAAATTGAAAACACAAAATAATTAAAAACACAATATTATGTACTATGGCAACTAGTTTGGCAGAGAAATTTGTGATATTTTTTAATATTGAAAAATGGAAGACAGTAAATTCATTAAAATAGTTGATTTTTGCACCAAAATGATTTTGGAAGACCTCAAAAGCGTATCAGACCTATACCGCCTCAAAAGCATATCAGACCTATACCACCTCATATGGCAAATCGAAAATTTGGAAGATAGACTACTTATTAGCGGAGTCAAAATTGGCGATATTACATGTATATGCGAGGAGGTCAAACGTGGTGTTTTTCAAACCATTAATGGACACTAGGAACACAACTGATTTAATATTTTTTTATTTTTTTTATTTTTCGTTTTAATTGGCAAGACAAACATGTGATAAAAATGATTTTTTCCCTTAAAAAATGAATGCTAAAACGGCAGGAATAAAATTACCCAAAATTATTATTATTAAAGCCGCCTTACCTTTTTTTAGATAAAAAAACATATGTCAGCAACACATTTTGAGTTTGAGTACGTGTCGCATTAAAATAAAACAGTTTCGGATTTTATTTTATAGTTTATGCTAAAATTATTTTAATGCATATATTATATTATATTATATTATATCATATCATATCATATCACGTTAATAACCTTATTATTTTTTTATTACAATCAAAACAAAAAAAGGAATAAATGGCACTTTTTTTGTTAAATAACATTAGTAAATAGGGAGAAGTTTAAAGTTCCAGTCAGCCCTATTTCGGTCATTATAAGCTTTTTGATATTCGGTTGCACGACGTTCAAAGAAGTTGTCCTTATTAAGAAAACCGATTGTGTCCATAAACTGAAACTGATCAGGAATTTTTGTCATAAAGATCTTTTCATAACCGAGATATACCATAAGCCTGTCAGCAACATACTCAATGTAATTATACATAAGTTCGACGTTCATACCAATCATGTCAACACAAATTGCGTCTTTTGTAAAAGATTTGCAAATTTCAACAGCCTCTTTCATTAATTCACAAATCTCCTCAAAAGACAGTCTATAAATAATGAAGGTGTAAATGACACATCCGAAAATTGTGTGCATGCCTTCATCTTTGGCAATTAAATTATTTGATTGTATTAAACCTTTCATTATATCTTCGCCAAGAATCTTTTTGAGCCAATATATTCCGGCAAAAGCCCCCGAAAACATTAATCCCTCAAAAATACAAAATACGACAATCGAGTACCCAATTCTGCGTTTAGAATTAATCCATCGTTGAGCCCATTGAATCATTCTCTTAATAGATGCAACTGTTTTAAACGCATTAATAAGTTCGTCGCGTTCAACCGGATCTGTAATAATTTTGATTAACATGTCTGCATAAACTTCACTATGCGTATCTTCCATCATTTGTTGGAATCCATAAGCAATTTCAGCTTCTTTGACAGTTATTTTTGATAATTTTTTCTTAATATTAATGTTAACAATTGAATCGGCTCCTGCAAAAAATGCTAAAATTCTCTTAATAAAATGTTGGATATTTTTATCAACTTTTAAAAAATCATGACGATCATTACTAAAATCAATTTCTTCAGCGGTCCAATATGCGTCTTTTTGTTTTTTATAAAGATCCCAAATTACCTTGTGTTTGGAATTGATTGGTTTAACAACCAAGCGTGAGAGGTCTTTATTTAAGATTTCCTCTTCTGAATCTTTTTTTTTTTCGTCATTGGCATCATACTCTAAAAGTAATCGCGAAACCGGGAATTCACCGTCAATAAAATTTGAACAACTTGTTTCTTTTTCTTGCTCTATCATTAAGATATTGATATGTCATATTATATGATGACTCGGTCCATCGCATAATTTAATCAATTTTTTGCGTTATTGCTTAACCATATTACTTTTTATCAAATTATGTAAATTATCTATTATAAATATAAAATTTGACTATTTTATAAAATGACATCAGCGTTGTAAATAATGTCAAATAGTGAGAATGACTTTTATATATATTGGAACTTGAAAATAACAAATATTATGTCGGTAAAACAACAAATCCTGAATTTAGGTTGGAACAACATTTCAATTCATCGGGGTCCCAATGGACAATAAAATACAGACCTATAAAAGTGTTTAAACTTGTGTCGAGTTGCGATAACTATGACGAAGACAAATATACATTAAAACTTATGGAACAATACGGTGTTAATAATGTTAGAGGTGGTAGTTTTTGTGAATTAGAACTTAGCAAAGATAATTTAAATACCATTCGCAAAATGATAAATTGTTCTGCAGATAAATGTTTTCGGTGTAATAGAAAAGGTCATTATGCCACAGATTGCATTGCAATGACAATAATAGGTGATAATAGTAATAATGAGGTTATTGAAGTATTTTTCTGTAGTTATTGTAATAAAGAATTTAACACGTTAAAAGGTGCAACATATCATGAAAAGTTTGATTGTAAAAATAAAGCAAAAACAATTATATGTTATAGATGTGGTAGACACGGGCATTATTCAAATGTGATGATATTAATAATGAGGTTATTGAAGTATTTTGCTGTAGTTATTGTAATAAAGAATTTAACACATTAAAAGGTGCAGCATATCATGAAAAGTTTGATTGTAAAAATAAAGCAAAAGCAAAAACAATTGTATGTTATAGATGTGGTAGACAAGGGCATTATTCCACCACATGTAAATGGCGATAATTTAATTTAACTTAAGCCGACATATGTTTTTACTTTTTTATAACAGTTTTAACATATGTTATTTTTATTATGAATAACATAACGTGTAGGCGGTTTTATTAAAATTTCAACCAAAATATCAATACCTTTACAAATGCAATTCAGCATTGGTAAGGTAAGGTAAATTAATATAATAAACAGGGTTAATGACCGATCATATATAACTATTGAATTTTTTTATTAAATTGTCCGATTCGTCATATTAGTCATAAAAAATTGAAAATATAATTTATAGGCCAACAAGACATATTTCAGGTATTCAATATAATTTAATTATGGACCGATTAAGGGAAAGCGAAAGCGAAAGCGAAAAGACAACCAATGAACAATCAAATCAGGATGTTAATAACGACCTTGATAAAATACAAGAAATATTAAGCAAAATACAAAAAACTACCCAACCTTCGTTATGGGTTAATGATAAACTGTCAAAAATTTCGGACACAATATTGACATCAATAAATAGTTTTGAAAATAAAAACCAAAGGTGTAACAGATTTAGTAATAGTGATTTACCATTTGAACAAATCTATAACAATATCGTACAAGAACACGATATTCAGATAGATATTACCAATACATTTATTCTAAATTTTTTAAAAGAATTTATTGCGGAAATAAAGGAGGAATTTCCAAAATGTATTAACCTTGAATTAATCGTTAAAAATATCGCAGATTCCCTTCCAAAAAATATGGATATTGATTCGTTTTATAGATATGTTTCTGAGTATCTTGTGGCAAAGTCGTCACAACATTATTATTATGATTTATTGGCTTCTAATATTTCAATAAAAAGATTGCATAATATTACTTCACCAGATCTGTTAATAACTGCCAAACTTTTACAAGAAAATATTGATAAAAATAATGATATGTCGCCAATTCTTTCGGATGAAACGTTTAATATAATATCAAAATACCACAGAAGATTGCAGAATTCAATTAGATATGACAGAGATTATTTGTTTGATTACTTTGGCATCAAAACTCTTGAAAGGTCATATCTTTATAAACTTCACTTTACAAAGTTTAAAATTATTGAACGTCCACAGCACATGATTATGAGAGTCGCGATTGGTATTCACGGTGAAGATATTGATTCTGTTATTGAGACGTATGACCTTATTTCACAAAAATACTTTACACATGCAACTCCAACACTTTTTAATGCAGGAACAAGACGAGCCCAGATGAGTTCCTGTTTTTTACAGGCAATTGATGATAATATTGAATCTATTTTTGAGGCAGTTCGTGATATTGCATTTACTTCAAAATGGGCAGGTGGAATTGGAGTTCATATGTCTGCTCTTCGATGTAGAGGAAGTTTAATAAGGGGAACAAATGGAATCGCATCAGGTGTTGTCCCTCTATGTATTCTTCTTAATAAATTAGCAAAGTACATAAACCAGGGAGGAAGGCGTAATGGATCCATCGCATGTTATCTTGAACCACATCATGCAGATATTTTTGATTTTTGCGATCTTCGTAAAAACACCGGGAATGACGATGACCGTGCCAGAGATTTGTATCTTGCGTTATGGGTGCCGTCACTCTTTATGAAGCGTGTAAGAGATGATTTGACATGGAGTTTAATGTGTCCGGATCAATGCCCCGGATTAAATAAAGTGCATAGTGAAGAATATGTTAAATTATATGAAATGTATGAATCAGAAGGGAAATATGTCAGACAAATAAAAGCAAGAGATCTTTGGAGGCATATACTTGAAGCTCAGTCAGAAACTGGTTTTCCCTATATTCTTTATAAAGATAACTCAAACATAAAGTCAAACCAAAAAAATCTCGGTACGATTAGATCTTCTAACCTTTGTGCGGAGATTATTCAGTACTCTGATGAACACGAAACAGCTGTATGTAATTTGGCTTCAATATGTCTTCCAATGTTTATTGAAACTAATAACAATGTCAAAATATATAACTTTGACAAATTAGGAAAAGTTTGCAGAGTTGCTGTAAGAAATCTCGACAAAATAATTGATCGTAATTATTATCCGACTGAAAAAACAAAGAGATCGAATCTAAGACATAGGCCAATGGGTATAGGGGCGCAAGGTTTGGCCGATGTTTATAATATTATGGGTTTTGGATTTTCAACTCATTCCGCATACGAACTTAATAAAAAAATATTTGAGACTATTTATTTTGCTTGTATTGACGAATCTAAAGAATTAGCAAAAAAATTTGGACAATATTCAACATTTAAAGGTTCACCAGCTTCTCAAGGACAACTGCAATTTCACATGTGGGGTTTTAACGAAGATCAGCTTTTAATGGGTTTTGACTGGAAGACATTGATCAGTGAAGTTAAAAAATACGGATTAAGAAACTCTTTATTGACTGCGTTAATGCCTACTGCATCAACATCACAAATAATGGGCAACTCGGAGTGTATTGAACCGTATATGTCAAACATTTTCAAAAGATCTACTTTAGCGGGCGAATTTATTGTAATTAATAAACATTTGATGAAAGATCTTATTCATTTAAATTTGTGGAATGATGATATGAGAAAAAGAATTATTATTGAAAACGGGTCTGTGCAAAATATTGAGTTAATTCCCGAAAAACTTAAAAATGTATATGAAACTGCTTTCGAAACAAAACAAATGCATATTGTCAGGCAATCTGCTGACCGAGGTATATTTATCGACCAATCTCAAAGTCTAAATCTATTTATGGCCGAGCCAGACTTCGACGTTCTTACATCGGCGTTATTCGAATCACATGATATTGGCAATAAAACAGGTATGTATTATTATAGGTCGCTTCCTGCAATTAATCCCATTAGTTTTGGTATTGATATTGAGGACATTAAACGTCTTTCCGGTCATAATGCCACAATGGATGTTTTAATAAGCGGATACAATGTTGAAAAAAAAAATACAAATATAAATACAGATATAAATACAAATACAGATATTAATATTAATAATAATAATAATAAGCGTCGCGACGACAATTCGTATTGCAAGTTTCGCCCAGGAATAAAAATAGACGATTGTATGTCATGCGGATCATAACATAATAAAATAAAAAGTAATTTCGTTTTTATGTAAAAACAACCAAATTTTAAACAATGAACTATAAAGGTTTTTTATTTAACGCCAATTTTTAATGTAACAAATGATTTATAGACTTATGTTTTGAGGCAATTGTGTTAAGTGTTCCAAAAGGAGTGTTTACAAATTTATAATGATTATTTTATTTTATTTTTTTAAAGCCCAAAATGCGTTATATACCTTTTTTCTTAATTCATAATATAGCTCCAAATATGACAAAAAAAATAAATCAAAAAACAACCACAAATCGAGATAGTCCCAATAATAATTTAGACACAGTTGGTGCCGATAATAATGAAACATTGGTTCGTAATATGACCAAGTATGAATCTGAAAAAAGACAATTGATAGAATTAGTTGAAAACGGTAAATGGAATGAAATACTTGAATATCTGCCAAAACTTACAGCATTCCAAATAAACTCCCCAATAATCAATGGCAACAATGTTTTTCATATGGCGTGCATTAAGGGAGAAAGTGAATTTATTAAAAAGCTTCTTGACATTAACACAAAACTTGGACTTAATATCAATGTATTTAATTTTAACTCAGATGGACTAACAGGTGCTCATCTTTATTATAAATACGGAGGATTAGAACCGCTATTTCTTAGTAAAAAAGACATATGTTGCGTTGATGATAACAATTACGTATTGGCCGTAAAATTTATTGACAAAATAGAGTTTTTAGAGCTCTTTGTTGACACAATGATAAAAAATGACTGTATTGAAAATATTGGGCTAAGGAACGACAGTTATGTATTTTTTGCAATAATGGCAAAAATAAACTATTATTCATTGTTTAACGCAAATGTTTTAGCACGATATGTTAAAATTCTTGATAAATTATACAAAATAATAAAACCAAACAATTTTGTGTTTTTAGCAATACAAGTTAACTGCATAGAGGCCCTTAAAATTTTAATGTGTGTCGGATTCGATTTTAACACATATTCCACAAATCACTTTACGCCTATTGGCAAATGCGTTGATAAAAATAGAATTGAAATAATGGTGATGATACTTGCTTACACAAAAACAAAGTTTGGCATTAACGCCGTTTTTAAACTGATTAACTCTGCAGACATCGACTATGATATGAGACCAATTATGATAGCCATTGAAGAAAAAAACATAATTGCGTTAAGAATATTATCCGAATATATCGAAGAATATTTTAATGATAATTCCAATAAAAAACACGAGTATTTGTCATATACAGACAGCGGGCATAACACATATCTACACCGGATTTTAGTTATGAAAAATCTTACTGATATACCTCATGAAATTGTCAAGTTTTTTATAGACCATTGTGATTTAAATAAAGAGAACTATGCAGGTGTTACTTCTGCGCATTTACTTTTTGGCAAAGGCATTTGGAAAAACTATAAAGATATTTTAGCAGGAAAAAATATCGATTTGCTAAAAGTCGACGATTTAGGAAACAACTGTTATTCATATGTAAAATCCGAAGATAGGGCAGAGTTTATGAATTTTGTTGAAAAAATAAAACTTCCGGTTAAACAAAACTCGGATATTGTAGACAGAACATTTAACGTTAACACTGTTAGGCAACTGTTAAAACCGTCAAAAGATTTTTCTTATAATAAAAATATTGGAATTGCGTCAATCGACAACGTCAAATCAAAAAATTACGGATTGTTCAACGCAAACCTGCCCCACTACATGTTGTATCTCAAATATTTGGAAAATAAATACCCTAATTTGTATATTCCGATTCAAAATTATGACACAAATAAAATAGAGACTGATATGTTCTTTTTTAATACTATATCGACATTTGTAACATCATCTGAACAATCTATGATAATAAAACATGTTAAATTATACCAATCACTTTTTTATTCATATCTTCCTCACAGTATTTATTGGTTTGACTCGGATTGTTACTATATACATCCGCATTTAACAAAGTTACTGTCCGATCATAATACCACTGTTGATGTTTTAAAAGACCGTTATGCAATGATTAAAATATCGTTGGTTGTTACAGAAAACCTTCTTCATGCTAATGTTCTTTTATATGACAGGTTGAATCGTGAAGCTTGGCGTTTTGAGCCGTATGGTACAACACGTGTAACTCATAAAGAATCAATGGATAATAAATTGAAAGAATTGTTACAAAGTGTCTACGGAAAAATAACATATTATGAACCCGATGATTTTCTTTATGGACTAAATTTTCAGATGGTTGATGGCGAGAATTTTACCGTAACTAAAAATCTTGGAGATCCTGGCGGATATTGTTTGGCATGGAGCATATGGTTTGTTGACATTGTTTTAGCACATCAAGACACGAATGTTAAATATATAATGCACAATTTTTTTAAAAGAAATGAAATAAGTAGTATATTGTCTGACGAAGAAGGTGAAATAATCGAATCAACCAATTACTATCTTGACTTTATTAGAAGATATGCCCATAAATTAGATAATGAGAAAAATGCGATATTATTAGATAACGGTGTTAAAAAATACTATCTTTATAACACGGTTTTTAAAGACAGTGTTCTAAAATCAATTGAAAATATGTTTAGACCAACGATTTATAATAGGTCATAATACGATGACTTAAGATAAAAATAAATTATAATAAAAAAGAGTTATGTAATCGTTGTATTTGATAATATAAGATAATGTAACATGTTTTTTCAAAAGAATTAGTGTTCTCTTTCTTTTGGTAAAAGATATTCCATATTCAAATAATCAAATATGTCCTTTTCCGACATAATTTTAAACGGAATTTCGTTATTTCCCAATAATCTATATTCATTAAGAGTATAACCCATGCTTAGAGCGACTCCTCTCATTCGGCGATTGAATTTATCAGAGCCGGTAAAATACAGAAGAGCTGTATGATACGATTCTTGGGGTATGAATCTAATGTCTATTCTTCTTAGCATGGAATTGGGTGCTAGTTTGCAAACACCCATATACTTTGTCGACACGTCTTCTGATGTAAACGAATCTTTAATAAATCCGATTTCCTCTAAAACACTAATAAATCTTAACATTAAGTCTGATTTTTCCGCTTGTGTTTTTGTAATAATTTTTGGATGTGATATAATAATATCAATGTCGTTTGATTCTTCTTTTTCCCGTCGATATGATCCGCACATTCTAACATCCATATCAGGATCCAACATAATTCCGACTTTAATAAGTTTAGAATATATTTTATCCATTTCCGATCTCGGAATAGAACGTTTAATTTTGTCTACATACTTTATTCCCTTGATAATACTTTCTGGCAATTTAATGTTGCCTTTTTTTATTAGATGTTTTAGTTCATCAATTGATTTAATGTTATGCTTGGTGTATAATTCATATGCCTTTGTCCTCCCAATTCCGAATATTTTCATTAAATCGTCTACATAATTTAGGTGTTTGCCGGTTATATCATCTTTATGTACTTCTTCAAGCTTTCCTGTTGCAATAATCTCGTCAATTCTTTTGATTGTACCATTGCCAATACCTTTGTAATTTTTAAGATCATTACCGGATTTGATCCTAAATTTCACAGAACGGATTACTCCTAGGGCTTTTACAATAGAGTTTAGTTTGTAAGAATATACCAACTTATTTTTTCCGGTTTTGACATCAACATAAAACTCTAACTGTCTTATCAATAGTTCAAACCATTTTATTATATTACTGTTCATATCATATCAATGTCTTACTTATTATAAAATAATATTTTCCTTTTATAAAAAAATACAATGGTTAAAGATATTCCAGGACAGATATTATTTTTTATTGTATTATGTTATGATATGATATAATATGATATGATATGATATAATATGATATGTTTGAATATTTAGCAATAATTTGCCGTAAATTATTTCAATATAATGATTATAAATCCGTAAAAAAACTAACCAAATACATTATATTAAAAGACGGCTTTAGTTATGTTTTTTGTTTAATTTGAGAAAAAACCCGACATGTCATTTTTATAGGTTATGTAACATCATAAACATGTCAAAAAAATCGGTTTGTTTTAATATCACATTGCCAAATTGTCAAAAAATATAAACAAGTTCGGCAATATGACGGATTTTAATATCGATTGTAAAACCAAACTGTTTTGTCGAACTGCTAATTTACATATTGTAGTGCAAAACCGTTTTGTTTAACTACCAATTCACATTTTTCGTCTGTTTGTACTTTTACATATTGTAATGCAAAACCGTTTTCTTTAACTGCCAATTTACATAATTCGTCCGTTTGTACTTTTACATATTGTAATGCAAAACCGTTTTCTTTAACTGCCAATTTACATAATTCGTCCGTTTGTACTTTTACATATTGTAATGCAAAACCGTTTTCTTTAACTGCCAATTTACATAATTCGTCCGTTTGTACTTTTACAAATTTCAATGCATAACCGTCTAGTTGAACAGCTAATTTACATATTTCCTCGGTTTGATTATCCGTCAATATTAATTTAATAGCGTTTATCAATTTAATTCTAATAATGTTATTTGGGGGCGGCGTTGTGTGACGCACCATATAGGTGTTCATTTTTGTCCGGCATTTTACATGTCTAATTTTAGACGAATTATTTTTCAAAATTTTAAATAAAATTATGCTCATTGTTTTTTGCCGAAATGCGATTTGTCTAATTCAATGTTTTGTCTAAATAAATATTGTCTTAATATAATGAACCGACTCATTATAAACAAAAAAAGTATTTAGACTAAAAAACATTACGCTATAATTCAAAAATCCCAAATAGGTGGCGGTGACGTCAACAAAAAATTAATCCAAACACATTGACATGATTCATAATCTAAAAAAATGCCAGTTTATGTGACATGAAATAGTCTTGTCTGGAACAGTTTTACTTGAAACAGTTTTACTTAAAACGGTTTAACTTGTGACGGTTTTACTTGAGACACATCTTGCACGAAACTGTCTTTTTTAAATGACCCGTTTTCCAAAAACCATATGGTTTATTTGTTACAACAAATAAACACAAAGTTTTAAAAATGAACACATAACGACGCTTTTGCTAAATATTGTTGATAAAATAACAACTGTTGCCATATAATATAATTAAAATATGGCAACCGTTTTTGCTTTTATACCAATAAAATATATTTGCATTTAAAATAACAATAAAATTAACACTGCTGGCGAGTTAAGTCCATGCGACATTTGAAATTTAATAAATCATGTTGATCATGTTTTGGAATATTATATTGCGGTGTCTTACTGTAATTGGATTTTAACAATTTATGTTGAACATGTTTTAGAATTTTACAGTATCTTACAATAATTCGAGGCTCGCAATTTATGTTGAACATGTTTTAGAATTTTACAGTATCTTACAATAATTCGAGGCTCGCAATTTATGTTGAACATGTTTTAGAATTTTACAGTATCTTACAATAATTCGAGGCTTGCAATTTATGTTGAACATATTTTAGAAATTTGCAGTATCTTACAATAATCCAGAGGCTTGCAATTTATGTTGAACATGTTTTAGAATTTTACAGTATCTTACAATAATTCGAGGCTTGCAATTTATGTTGAACATATTTTAGAAATTTGCAGTATCTTACAATAATCCAGAGGCTTGCAATTTATGTTGAACATGTTTTAGAATTTTGCAGTATCTTACAATAATTCGAGGCTTGTAATTTATGTTGAACATATTTTAGAAATTTGCAGTATCTTACAATAATTCGAGGCTCGCAATTTATGTTGAACATGTTTTAGAATTTTACAGTATCTTACAACAATCCGAGGCTTGCAATTTATGTTGAACATATTTTAGAAATTTGCAGTATCTTGCAATAATTCGAGGCTCGCAATTTATGTTGAACATGTTTTAGAATTTTACAGTATCTTACAATAATTCGAGGCTTGTAATTTATGTTGAACATATTTTAGAATTTTACGACTTATGTTGAACATGTTTTAGAATTTTACGACTTATGTTGAACATGTTATGGAAACTTGCGACATTTTACAATAATTAGGAGTTTTCAATTTATGTTGAACATGTTTTAGAATTTTACGACTTATGTTGAACATGTTATGGAAAATTGCGACATTTTACAATAATTCGAGGCTTGCAATTTATGTTGAACATGTTTTAGAATTTTACAGTATCTTACAATAATTCGAGGCTTGTAATTTATGTTGAACATGTTTTAGAATTTTACAGTATCTTACAATAATTCGAGGCTTGTAATTTATGTTGAACATGTTTTAGAATTTTACAGTATCTTACAATAATTCGAGGCTTGTAATTTATGTTGAACATGTTTTAGAATTTTACAGTATCTTACAATAATTCGAGGCTTGCAATTTATGTTGAACACGTTTTAAAATTTTACGACTTATGTTGAACATGTTATGGAAAATTGCGACATTTTACAATAATTAGGAGTTTGCAATTTATGTTGAACATGTTTTAGAATTTTACGACTTATGTTGAACATGTTATGGAAAATTGCGACATTTTACAATAATTAGGAGTTTGCAATTTATGTTGAACACGTTTTAAAATTTTACGACTTATGTTGAACATGTTATGGAAAATTGCGACATTTTACAATAATTAGGAGTTTGCAATTTATGTTGAACATGTTTTAGAATTTTACGACTTATGTTGAACATGTTATGGAAAATTGCGACATTTTACAATAATTAGGAGTTTTCAATTTATGTTGAACATGTTTTAGAATTTTACGACTTATGTTGAACATGTTATGGAAAATTGCGACATTTTACAATAATTAGGAGTTTTCAATTTATGTTGAACATGTTTTAGAATTTTACGACTTATGTTGAACATGTTATGGAAAATTGCGACATTTTACAATAATTAGGAGTTTTCAATTTATGTTGAACATGTTTTAGAATTTTACGACTTATGTTGAACATGTTATGGAAAATTGCGACATTTTACAATAATTAGGAGTTTTCAATTTATGTTGAACATGTTTTAGAATTTTACGACTTATGTTGAACATGTTATGGAAAATTGCGACATTTTACAATAATTAGGAGTTTTCAATTTATGTTGAACATGTTTTAAAATATCACGACATCTTGCAGTAATTAGAAGTTTACAATTTATGTTGAAAATGCCTTAGAAATTTATTGTATCTTACATTGATTCAAAAGTTTATGATTTATGTTGGTCGTGTTTTGGAAAATCACGGTAATTAGAAGTTCGCAATCTATGTTGAACATGTTTTAGAAATCCACGGTATCTTACGGTAATTAGAAGTCCGCAATTTATGTTGAGCATGTTTTGGAAATCCACGGTATCTTACGGTAATTCGAGGCTTGCAATTTATGTTGAACATGTTTTGGAATTTTACTGTAACTTGGAGTTCGCATTTTATGTCGAAACATGTTTTGAAATTTAACAGTAATAAGAAGTTCGCTTTTTATGTTGAACATGTTTTGGAATATTACAATAATTAGAGGTTCGCATTTTATGTTGGACATGTTTTGGGAAATCGCAAATTATGTTGAACATGTTTTGGAATATTACAATATTTTGCAATAATTAGAAGTTTGCAATTTATGTTGAACATGTTTTGGAATATTACAATATTTTGCAATAATTAGAAGTTTGCAATTTACGTTGAACATGTTTTGGAATATTACAATATTTTGCGATAATTAGAAGTTTGCAATTTATGTTGAACATGTTTTGGAATATTACAATATTTTGCAATAATTAGAAGTTTGCAATTTATGTTGAACATGTTTTGGAATATTACAATATTTTGCAATAATTAGAAGTTTGCAATTTATGTTGAACATGTTTTGGAATATTACAATATTTTGCAATAATTAGAAGTTTGCAATTTATGTTGAACATGTTTTGGAATATTACAATATTTTGCAATAATTAGAAGTTTGCAATTTATGTTAAACATGTTTTGGAATATTACAATATTTTGCAATAATTAGAAGTTTGCAATTTATGTTGAACATGTTTTGGAATATTACAATATTTTGCAATAATTAGAAGTTTGCAATTTATGTTGAACAGTTTTGGAATATTACAATATTTTGCAATAATTGGAAGTTTGCAATTTATGTTGAACATGTTTTGGAATATTACAATATTTTGCAATAATTGGAAGTTTGCAATTTATGTTGAACATGTTTTGGAATATTACAATATTTTGCAATAATTAGAAGTTTGCAAATTATGTTGAACATGTTTAGAACATTACAAATTATGTCAAACATGTTCCATAAGAAATCGTATTAAATAACTTGCCTTTATTTTTAACAGCCGTATTAACTTAGCCAAAAATAAAACAAGGATTGTATTAAATAAATTATAGTTTGGGGACAAAAGATTTAGGCAAACATTTTACACTGTAATGTATTCTTTTTATGGGTTATTATTTATATTATGTTTTTGCCCATATTTTTTTTGTTTTTTTTGTTATTTATTAAATATGGTAAATAAACTAAAAGACCGAAAATTATTACAATCCGTAAAAATATTTGTGAGTCTAAATAAAAAGAACATATACCGATGATATAACGTTTACTCTAAAAATTGATAAAACGTTTTGCTAAAACTCGAATTCATAACATAGACAACAACACCAATATCATTTATTGATAAATTGATAAAATAAAATAACGCAAATTGTTTCTATACAAATGTGGT